TATTATTCTCTGATTTAATATCTGCTAAACACAAGGGAAAATAAGGGACTTTGATGTATTTGATTTCYGTGCTGGACAAACAGGCAGCATCAGGAAGTTGCCAACAGGAAGTTGATGTAGCTCCACCTCCTCTCTATCATTTTCCTCCGGGGTGTGGACAGCAATGAGAAMATCATAAAACGATTCAGAAAAACAATATTGTCAAAACTTTCCAAAAGACGTATCAGTGAAACAGTTGGGACGGAATTGTTATTTAAAAGGGATTTCTTAATCTTCTTTCTTCAAGGCCAAAGAGGGTAAGACTAAATAGACACTTCTTTTTTCTTACCTGTAGTCTTATAAAATGTARATACACATGTGATAGAGTTTTACGTGATGGTCACGTTTAAATTTCTGTAGAATGCTCTTGACGTGTTTGTATTTATTCACCTGTATGACAGTCATATTTAAATTGATGCAAATGTCATTTTTTTTGCGTATGAGAATTAAGAATTTATTTTATTTGGGAAACTTTTGAATAAAAAAAAAAAACTTGGTAAAAAAAGAAACATCTCTACAATTTCAACTTATTTCTATTTTATTTTGATCTAATGTGGTTGTGATATTTTAATGTTTTATACTCTGTAATTATACCTTGTGTGTTAACTCTTCCTTAAACAATGTGCATGTATTAATATTTACTGAGGATTTAGTCAATAGCCAAGTGGATAATTGACTATTTTTAATGATTTTAGTTCCTGAACAGATAATAGAGGTATACTTTATTACTTTATCTTGTCTGGAGGAAATTATTTAAATATGTGTTTGACCTCTGATATGCCAACCGGTTAGGGTTAGGTTGTTAACCCTAACCTAACCTAACCTAACCTAACCTAACCTAACCTAACCTAACCTAACCTAACCTAACCTAACCTAACCTAACCGCCAACCCTTAAAACACCAGCTCGCTATTAAAGATAACATCAAATGTCATTTGAACCAGTCCGTCAACCAGTTGGCATGTACACATGTAGTTGTTCAGAGGAAAACTATAATGAAAGAAAAGATGCAAAAGTTAATGAGTAAATTTTAGATGATGCCTTTATAATTGATGTTCTACATATCAGGATATCATAACAAAACATGGTCTTTATAATATTTTATTGTTGTGGAAATCTTTATTTACCCAAGACAGAAACACGTGATCCAAGAATAAAGTACTCTGTGTTTTCAGGATTTATTGCAATTGCAGGCACACATCATGTCACACAGGGCAGTGGTACATACTGTAGTGTGTAATGAGGCAGGCTCAAATACACTCATTTATACAGCATGTCATCCAAAACAGACAATAACACCTCTCKTAGCGCCGAAGCTGAGCCAAAGGCAACATAACACTTGATAAACTATCCAGCAAGAATGATTATTTCTGACAGCTCTTGTCYTGATCATAAAAYACTTTGTCTGAGAGGAAACAGAAGATAAACAGTTAAGTCAAAACCCTGAGTACTTTGTWCTTGGATCACGTTTCTGTCTTATGTGAATAAAGATTTCCACAACATTTACTATCCAGATTAAGTACATCTAAAGATGAAGCATGGGCTATATTTACATACCCAAAGCATCAATAGCTCGTAAAGCACTTTCAAAAGCCATATTTATAATCCTTCTTTATCACGATTAGCTTAATCACTAATTAATAGTTAAAATTTGTCAAGGTTCCTTTTGTAGAGTATAAAAAATGTTACGCCCGTTGTTGACTTCAGAATGAAGGCTTCACTTTGACTCGGAAAACAAACTGATTTTAATCACTTGTTGCTCAGCCATTTTGGTTTAGATTTACTTGTGTATTTTGGACTTTTGTCCTTTTCTGGATTTGACTCCAGGAGTTCATGTCTGACTAGTCTGGCTGGTTGACAGGTCAGTACAAACTGTCARCCCTCCCCCTCTTTGCTTTATAGTTGATATGAAGTATTAAGTGGTACTATACACATTGCCTTTATTTTTCTTTGTACTCAGTTTTTCACTTTTGTATTTTACCTTTGTTCAAACATAATAATGATGTAGTGCACAATGTTGTTTTGTTTCCAATTGTACGTATCTAACTCTGAGACATGAAAAGGACTTAAAAATGTTCAATAGTCACTAAAAGGTTACAACTTCACTGTAAAATTCAATTAGTTGTCATTATTTTAAAAGGTATGTAAACCGATTGCACTTTAAAAAATAAGTACACAGAACTAGGAATAAAAGTTGTACTAACTAGTGCTTTCTTTGTGGAGTACACTTATGTATGAGTTGAACCAACTTAGACAATCAAGTAGCATGTACTTAATAAGTTACTTTAGATGTACTCGAGTTAGTAAAGACCACTTAGATTCATTATTTTAATCTAATTAATTATTGCATGTGAAATTTACTGTATTTAGTCAGTTTAACATACTGTACTTTCCAAAGTTGAGCTTATTTAATATTTCTAAGTTACATTTCCTTTGGCATCGCTACTTCTAAGAGCTAGGCTACACAGGCAAAATAATTAGTGGAAGCTAACACTAATCTGCTAACATTTATCATACTAGAAACCACCATGTGTCAATATGGACAACATCCTTTAATAGCAAGTAGGATGTTGAACAGACTTATCTGGTAATTTTCCCTCTATACAGTTGCAACACAGATCTTTCACTCAGCTACAGACAGTAACCAAAACTTCAACACAAATGTCAACTCAAGCCTGAATGTGTAACACAACAACATAAGTGAACACAAATCAAAATGGTTCATGAATCATGGATAAAAGTGTTTGCAGTCACATGACAAACAGCCAGTCTGAGCTAGCACTGCTAACATTCACAGGCTACATTACACCATCAAACTATTGCACACCAACAAATGTATTCAAGCAAAAGAAACCAGACAACTTATGTTTTATTTTCGACCTTGTCCTCTCCTTGAAAAGTGAAGCAAGGGAATGAGGAGCAGCAGCCTTTGTGTGTGCATGCACCCTCAGTTTTAGCCCAGAAGAGTAGAAGTT